CGCATGGATGGGGGTCTGAAGCTGACCCGTGGGCCACCAACAGATCAAGCACCACGGCATCGTTGACCTCGAGTATAATGAGATATACCTACGAGCATGGCCGTCGATACCACACATACCAAGAAGCCGTCCGTCCTACCTTTCTCTAGATTTATGTGCATTATACACGCTGACCTTTGGTAAAAAGGATACTTGCTTCCCAACGATGAGAAGGAGCAGGAGCATATGAATATCATATCGCACCTCTTCAGACTCATTTTAGGCGGACGACTCTTCCTTGCGCCTCTTCCGCAGAATACAAAGCGCATCCTGGACATCGGTACGGGAACCGGTGATTGGGCTATTGACATGGGTGAGTCGAGTCTGAATGCGCCTTCTATGGGTGTATACACATGGCTGACTTTTGCTAGCTGATCGATACCCGGATGCTCTGGTATGAAACCTAGCAAATGCGCGAAAACAACGGTAACTAAGCTGTTTATAGGTCGTCGGAAACGACCTAAGTCCCATCCAGCCAGGACTGTCAGTCTTCCTCTGTACCCTATGCGTCTGCACCAGACAGTAACTAACTGCCGCAGCGTCCCGCCGAATGTACAATTCGAAATAGACGATGTCGAGAACGACTGGGCTCATCACAAGCCCTTCGACTACATCCACTGCCGCTTCATGGCCTCTTCCATCCGGGACTGGCCCCGTCTCTTCCGCCAGATCCTCGAGTACGTCCCTGTACACCTAGCTATCGCTTCCCTACTAATTTAGTTGTATAGAAACCTGACGCCAAACGGGTATGCTGAATTCTACGACTTCGACTTCTTCTTCCGCAGCGACGACAACTCCCTCCTCCCAACCCACGAGATGTACATTAACTGCGCTGAAACCACCAGCGCGGCAGAAAAGATCGGCCAAACAGCCTGTCCCGGCCCTCATCTAGCCAACTGGGCCCGCGAAGCAGGCTTCGTCAACGTCACGGAGCGCAAGATGAAAGTGCCCATTGGACCGTGGGCAAAGGACCCCAAGCTAAAGGAGATTGGAGCCTGGAACCAGGTGCAGGCGATGGAAGGGATGGAGGGATGGTCGATGGCGCTGTTGACGAGGGTGAATGGGTGGAGCGAGCAGAAGGTAAGAGAGCACCTGGTGAGGCTGAAGAAGGACTATCTAGACACGAAGATCCATGCATATATGACTGCGTATGTGGTCTATGGGCAGCGGCCGGAGAAGAACTAGTTGTAGGTCATGGACGAAAATTTAAGCACTGGGCATGGATTTGCAGTTGGTTTCTTTTCCACTAATAATGACGGGCGATGACTACATTACAGCAGCATTTCAGCATTGATCAACCTGGTTATCGTGTGATTGATTGGTTTTTCGGTTATAGCCAGGGTAGCATCCGGATAATCACAACTGGGTCTACGACTTGCTGGAAAGCAGGGAACTAGCGCTGTGTTATATATAGTAGGAGTGAGCCAGCTACGTACACCTCGTATCCTTCTGGGCTACTACTCCTACCTACGCAATCCAAGATATGAAGCCATGGTGAGACACCGCTAAAGAGGGAAATATATGTCTGTTTAGCCCGTGGGCCAAAAAGTCTGGTTATTGTATTTGTATCTACTTAGGCTGGAGTTTTGATACATGTCTCTCTTCCAACCACGGCACAGCCAAAGTCAAAAACACAGTCAATGAAAAGGAACGGAACAGGCCAGGAACCTCGGAGCCAATATGCAGCAGTATCATGAATAGAAAAAAAAAAAAAAAACCAACGCTTTTCATAAATAATGGTATAAAGGAGTGGATAGGAAAATCGTTAGCGCTAAACTGGGACACCCGGCAAATCAATCAATTTCTATGCAACCCAAAGAGAACGTAAAGAGGAGAGAGATAGAAACAGAAACACAGGTCTATAGGCAGGATTTAAAGGACAAGAGCAACACCGACGGCACCACCGAAGACGGCGACAAAGACACCGGTAAGGCCGACGCTGGCCACGGGAGCAGCGCCGTTCTGCAGCGTTGGCGAGGCAGTTGGGGACGCCGGAGACTCGCCTTTGCCACCGTCCGAGGGAGTTGGATAGACGACCACGACGGAGGTGAAGGTGTGGACGGAGCCGTCGGCCTCGGTGACAACGCCAATGGAGGTCGAGGTAGACGAGGATCGAGGCCGGGTGGAGGATGGCGGCTCGGTGGTGGCTGGCCGCGAGGTCTCTGAGGAAGCCCTGGTGGGCGTAGGAGAGGTCTCGGTGACGAAAGTGGTGTCCTGGCTGGTTGGTCTCTGGCTGGTCATGGACGGCTGCGAGGTAGGCGGGTTGGAGGTCTCGGGTGGAGAGCTGGTAGGCGAATTGGTAGGCGAATTGGTAGGGCTGTCCGTGGGCGAGTTGGTAGGGGAATTGGTAGGAGAGTTGCTAGGCTGGCTGGTAGGAGGCCGGGTTGGAGACCGCGTAGGCGAAGCAGTTGGGGAGTCTGTTGGAGACGCAGTTGGAGAGTCCGTAGGTCTGCTGGTAGGAGAATTGGTAGGACTGTTGGTAGGCGGATTGGTAGGACTGTTGGTAGGCGAATTGGTAGGAGGACTGGTAGGGCTGTTGGTAGGCGAGTTTGTGGGAGTGTCTGCATGAGAAGAGGATGAGCCGTCCGTCGTCGGAGACGCAGTAGGAGAAGCAGGAGGAGACACAGTAGGAGACGCAGTAGGGCTTGGAGAGGCAGTTGGAGAGGCAGTGGGAGAGGCAGAGTCAGAGTCCGTACCGGTTGGCGTGGGCGTGGGAATGTCGCCGGTGTTCTGGCGTCTCAGGACCTTGCGGCGGGCAGCCTCCTCCGCGCCAGCAGCGCCAGGCACCGGGTCGGCCACGGCAGCCCGCTTGTGGAAGAGCTTGAGCGAGAGATTGTGCAGCGAGAAGACGGCATTGTCCTCAGCAGCGTCGCGCGGATGGTGTTTTCGCAGCAGTGGTTGCCGCAGCGGCTCGCCGGAGACAAGAACCAGGCAGAGGGCCACTAGGGCCAGGAAGCTGAGCAGACGGGCCATCTTGCAGGGGACGCAGAAGAAGACGGACGGGATACAGACAAACAGACAGACAGGAGAGAGAGAGAGAGAGAGAGGACAGGCAGGGGACGGCGGCTTTATGTAGGAGCCGTCTTGAGGGACGAGAATCTCCACCGGCACCGCCAGCCTCGAGCTCGAAGCGCCAACGACAAGAACGCACAAGACGAGCGACAGCGAGGAAGAGGCGAAGGAAGAGTTTCACCATGCTTTCAGGTCGCGAAGACGCTGGCCAAAGAGGAGCCGCCAGCTCAGCTCTTTGCTTTTGGCGCTGGTCAAGCCCGATTCCATCCCCCCGTCGACCGCCTGCATAGCCACAGCGGACGCTTAACTCGCTCTGATATTATTATTATATCTACGGAGGACGGTCGAGCCAGAGCCATGCAGGCGAGCATCGTTCGAGAGACGGCGAGAGAGAAGCGCCCTCAGAGAGCTGCATGACGTGTTTCAAACTCTGCACTGCACCAGGGGGGGTGTCTCTCCCAGCAACAAGGCCGGTGTTTGGCTCGTCCATGGATTCAAGCAGCTCGCCATCCCTGTCTGGAAATGGGGGAACCAGCCTGGATCTCGATGGCGTGCAGGGATACGAAGCTCTGCCTGTTCTCTGTTTCCATGGCAGCTCTCTCTCTCTCTCTCTCGCTGGTGGCCTCCATGACACGGGCTGTCTGACAGCGGGTGTACGGGAGTCGTACGCTGCAGTTACATGCAGGCTTGTCCAATTCCTGCTTCTGTGAGATTATTCTCCTCAGTCGTCCTCGTTTCTCACCGGATGTTTGGCGAAACAGGCTTGTTACCGGACTTTCCAGAGTGACGGTAGTATCTGGCCCGTCCCATCGATATCGATTTGGCACCCGTGGTTTGATGTTGATGATCGCGGGGCCGCACCCTGTCTGTCTCGTCTCCAGGAGCAAAAAGCTTTCAAGTCAACCGTGGATGCAAGCTCGGATTCATCATGTGTCTCTGGACGATACGAAACTCAATCTGGTGTTTGCTTTTCCAGCTAGTCATTGCTCTGGTTACAAACATGAAGCTTAGCAGAACATCTACGGAGTAACCCCCAAGTGAACTGACACAGATGGTGACCCTGTGGCATAGAGAGCACAGTTGATATATTGCTGGCAACTATAGCCTACATCACAAGGTACCCATTCAGCTTTTTATCACCCTCGTTGGTCCGCCCATTTTTCCCGCTCTCTTCACTGTATCGAACTCGTCCAAGGGCAGTCTCCAGTATAACCGCCCAGTGGCCCTTGCTCATGCTGCAGTCGCCCTCTTACTCCGGAATAATGAGCCCAAGAGGAGACGTATCATGGTGGTACTTCTCAGCAGGCCACTTGAGGAACTCCGCATCTGCTGAAATGCTGTTCTCCTACAAGTTCCGTTTTACAGGTGAAATGGCGTAACGACCGACAGACAAGGTTCTCATTTAGGTTGCTGTTTGAGGCTTCTGATAGTTTTCAGGTACTCCGTATGCTGGGGAGACTTCCTGGGAGGTTAGCACACCTTGGGGATGAAGACCAGGTGAAGGCTGAAGCAAGAATGAGAGCCATTTCGCACTTTGTTCTGTTGGCTTGCATGCTTTCCTCCAGCCCTTTGACTCGTGGACAGCCACCAGTCAGTGGTGCATTACATGTCATTCGGTAGTAGTTATATGTAGGAGGTTTGGCGATCCCTTACACGAGAGTCAACTGGTCATAAACTCAGCATAAACAAGCTGCAGTGTCACAGAGACAACGTATACAGAGTGGAGTGATGTGTGAAGATCAACAGTGACTTCGACATCAAGAAGTTTCCTTTGTTCACTCGACCCTACAAGCATGAACTTGAGCTTCTCTTCTTTGAAGGAAATCGACGATCCTGGAGTCGCAGCAACATTCACAACAATATTTCAATATTCTCGGGTCTCGAAAGCCACAAAATCGCTGATTGGCTGATAAGAGAAACAGAGATAAAGTTGACCAATGGGAAGCTATAAAGCTAGTTACTAAAAATAGAAAAAAGACGGGCACAAATTCGTTTATTCCGAGCATATCAAGCCGTTAAAAACGCTTCAGAAGCGAGCGAGTGAGGCTCCAAGGAAGAGGCACTACTAGAATGGCTTTCCTCAGCCCCGGATCTCGATATGCCTAAGGAAACGTGGTATAAATAAAAATAACGTCCGCCAAAAGAACCAAGTCGTGCCTAATGGCTTGAACGATTGGGCTTGGTTTCAGCTCCCCAGTAATGCCCTTAACCGAGGCATCATCGTAAACCTGCTAAATAACCCCCATTGGCTGAGCACAGAAGAATAGGAATACCCACATCGTGGCTTTGATATTGAGAGACGCCGAATAAGACGCTGCTGCGTGGAGAAGACCTGACAGAACAAAGCAAACGAGCAGCACGGCCAGTCCTCTGGGAGCAATTGCTTGGGCAAGCGAGAGAAACCCGTTTCTGAACAGCTCGTGCCATACCCTACCCCATATTTCCACTAGGCGTTAGCTCGTTTTGCTGTTAGGTAGGTAAACAAGGTAAAAGTCGGGCCGCACCTTTGATATGCATTCGTTTGGAGCATTCCAAATTACCGAAGAATGCGGGATACATGCATTCTTCTCCACCCAGTAAGCCAACGCTGATGCGTGCGGTCAAACCATGAAGTACGTCAGTAAAGCTAAGAAAAGCTAGGCCAGTCGCGATTATTTCAGCTGTTAACTAAAAATTAACCGTCAGAGTAGATACAGTTCTTTTAGGCAAACTTTCGTCATGCGTACCTGGGGTACCTACCCAGTCAAAGGGATATCTCCACTTGTACGAAATATATTCCGAGCAAGATCCAGTGGGATATATGAGATCACTATCCACCGTGCCTGTCTATATATAACATATGGATGGTGGTTGCGATCCCTTACCCTAACCGCAGGCTGCGTACTCGTAGGTGGTTAGCCATCCTTTGGCATGGCATGTTCCAAACCAATGCCACGGTAGTTGACTGAAAGCCCACTTCCATTGAACCCTTTGGTAGGTATATGCAGGTGGTAGCTACTCCCAATAGTAAGATATTCTAGCTGGAGACTTACGTCTCTTTAAGCATCGTAGCTGCAGGGACGATAGATAAAGAGGGCATTGGCAGACCAGATGACATACCAGAACGAGAAAAATCCAGTCAAGTAGGTGAGTGGAGCATTATGGAACGGTGGGTATAGACCGTCTTGTTCAGCCACTTAGCGAATTGAAATAGATTCATCATTTCAGTCAGAAAACAGGGGTAAGGCATCCTATGCTTTATATGAAGCACACCGCATGATCGTGCATTCGGCATGCAGTGTAGGTGTCATGTAGCAACAGGAGTTTTTTAGTGGTTCGAAATTGCAATCCTATACAGGGCCGATGGTGCAAGATAAACCTAAAAAACGAAAAGTCGGTGAAAACAGCCCCATATCAACACAGTCGATTAAGAGTCCAGTACATACGACCATAGGAAGTGGAAAACAGAGCTTCCCGTCCGCTCAGCTGTACTTAATCCACTTGCCGGTCGGTTAGTAGTTGGGTGGGTGACCACCAGCGAATCCCGACTGTCGTATGTATAATTTTCTTTTTTGCTCCTTATATATTTGTCTTAAAGAATTCCCTCAAGTTTATTTATCCGATATCATCCTCTGCAAGGAACAAAGGGACCAGAAGTGGATGTGGTTCGACTTGCCAACGTACTCCACACAGGATCCCCGGTCAATGGGAATCACCTTCAAGGTAGCCTAGCCCTCTATCGACCACATATCAGGTAGGCCAAAAATAAATGTCTGATAGACTGGCTCCTGGATAAGATCTTCAAGGGGACGCAGAGGGTGATGCTGGGGATGTCGTTCTCGCATGTTTGTTTTAACTCGTTCCAATAAATAGTTAGACGCAGTGGGGACGGGACCAGCCGCAGCCAATCAGCGAATGAGCCGTGACTAAGCATAACAGCCGCCACGACATCAAGTGCTTCAGGATTGGAGCTGCGAGATATCCCAACTACACCACCGGTAATATATATATGTATATATATACGTATAACTCCTCTGAAATGGCAGGATTGGGCATTTTTAGATCATTTCTTAAACATACCCAAGCTGTGGAAAACATATTTGATTGGACGGTCCTTCACCGATACATATATCAAAACATTCGAAGATAAAATTGCTACAGTGCTGGGACAAGTATTTACAGCATCCATCACAACGAGAATATTTTCCCCGTCCGCACAAATTTATACCAGAGCAATAGATCGTGGATGAACCCGATACCCATAAAGTTTCTGAGGTTGCTACCGCCAAGGCTGCATTCGCCCCTTTCTCCATTGGCCCAAGGGCTTGCATTGGGCGACCACTGGTTTATTTGAACCTGAGACTCACGATTGCCACGCTCATCTGGAAATATGGCTTTCGGCTAGCGGACGGGGCTGCCGGTGGAAAGGGTGTAGGCCATCCACTAGGTGAGCATTGGTGATGGCTCGATGATCTAGTTCAGGCATAGGACATAGGGTATATATTTCATGACTTATGATACATTGTCCTGGCAGCTTGAAGAACTGTAGATGCGCTATACCTTGTTATATAAGAGTTGTGTGCCTATAATTAGGGCAATAATATAAAATTTAGTTATCAATGGATAATAGAATTAAAGTTAATAGAAACCACATAAAGTATCATGATGGGAAAATAGCCATTTGTGCGTGTTTTGAATTCATTGACTAATCCACATCATTTCAACATTTAGATAACGGTCAAATAATCCATAAATCCGGTAACAATGCATGAAACCCAGAAATATAACCTTTTTAATGCTCAAATTGTCGTCCATCCCAATCCCATGGCTTGGTAGCTTCACCTGGTTTAGGAATAGGACAACTCTCTACTTCTGGAGGATAATCTTCAACCTGAACGCCATTTTCACTGCCAAAGTATATCCTAAGGATCTCTTTTTTTTCAGGCTTCCCAATGACTGTACACGGCAATTCTTCCTCATCTTTTAACACTTTGAGTAGAGTTGGCATCATATACGTTGGTAGGCTCCCTTCGAGGTCGGATCTGATCAATCCTAGTGCGGTCATATTGCTGGGTATTTGGGTATCAGGCCTAAGCCTCACCACAGCACCGCAAAGCTGCCTGAGTTTCTTATGAGGGACGGCCACAACGCAGGCTTCTGAGATATATGGAAGCTTGGTTAAATCATCCTCAACTGCAAGAGTCGAAAACCGAAATGCTGCGTATTGGACGTCTAGTGTTCTTGTTAATGCTCCGTTCTATTTTTGGGTTCGCACAAGTGATCCAGAGCGTTAGCTATCAAAAACTTACAGTCAGTAGCCACACGTCCGGTAAATATGTATTCTTTGTTGATGAATTTAGCGAGATCCCCTGTTTTATAGTACCCCTCTTTGTCAAAGATGCTCTCAATCGTACGATTGTCACCAATATAACTGTACCGAACGATTAGTTAATATGCCATGACGGGCAAAGGGAAATCAGTTGTTGGGCTACGTACTGTAGCAGCATCTTCGGGCTTTTGAAACAAATTTCTCCTCGATCTCCCTCTGACAATTTTACTTTGATTCCGGGGACTGGAGTTCCAATAGAGCCCTAAACCGTAAAATTATTTTCTGGTTCATTGCTGGCCTCGGGTTTTTGAATGTAGGCCTTACATATATCTCAGAAGGTCCACCAATGGCGATTCCTCCAAGTTCAGTGGAAGCATAGAAGTTCTCAAATGGCAGTCCTGTTAAGCCTACCCAAAAATCCCTTACTGGCGGCTCAAGTGATCCTCCAGAACATTTGATTATCGATAGTCCTTTGAAATAACTGTGCCATATGTCTTTCTCCTCCTGTGGTATAGTGGATAGATCCCTGTGGCAAGTGAGTAAGTACATCATCCGCCGCAACACATCTGGCATAAACGCGGCGTGTGTGATTAACGAGGTTCTGAAAGCCCGCAGAACATCCTCAGCACGAGCGTCCTGGACTTTCGTTTTCAGACTGTGAACTTTCCTTCCCAAGAGGAGTGACTGGATAATATCCCTGGCACCGCCTATCCAGTGGTTTGGGCGGTAAACAAGGGCTGCTGAGCCGGGCTCTCTGATGCCTGTTCCAAGGAGAGAACATCGTGGTAGCACAGCTCCTTTAGGGCACCCAGTGGTTCCTGATGTAAACATGATCATGCCAGGTCCATCCGGTGCCATGACACAGTTGTGATCAATCTCAATAGCTCCTTCTGCTTCATCAAGGGCCTTTGCATCACTGGATATAGAGACGGTTGCTAGTGCTTCGGATTTCGTTTGCTTGATATAGGTGCGAATACTGCTGGCCCTTTCTATACTGCCTTGGCCAGCAAGTATAGATATCGACTTTATCAAGGAGAGAAAGTACTCTGCCTCCTCGGGGAGTACGGCAGTCCCTGAAAGGAGCCAGTTAGCCCGATTTCGTTCACTGCTGAATGTTGGTACAGAGCGTGAATTTTTACCTAAAGGTGCACATACTCCACCTAAGGATCGTACAGCAAAGAAGGCAACGAGGAACTCATAGCCACTCTTCGCGAGGAGAGCGACGCTCTGCCTCCTTTCGCACAAAAGTCCCTGGGTATCTAATGCGGAGGGGGGTAGTTGTGCTCGCAGGAGTTCTCGGGTTGCAAGTATGTCAGCAAGGAGCTCAGGATACGTCTTCTGGCAACCAAGTGCATCATCTTCGACAACGGTCTCAGTAGGAGGAGTCTGATGTGCTAGGGCTAATAACTGGACCAGCACTGGATCATGAGGAAATCTGTGAATCAGTATAGGAATCATGACTGATGCCTTTGGCACCTCGAACTGTAGGAGTTGAAAGAGTTTACCCTCTTGCAAAACTATTGTTGATGCGTAGAAGTTTCTCCTCCTACTGACTTGACGCTATTTCAATGCGTAGTTGAATAGAAGTGCTGGCTAAGCCATTAATTCCCTGTTACAAGGTTCTTTAGAGCTGTTCGACTGCGGTGTGGCCTCGAACTGTTCAATCGCAGTTGTGGGAGGGTGATAAACCACAGTCGGTTGCAGCAAACTGCCAAAGCTAGTTGATTATAAAATCAACAGCTGGTTAGTTTCACAAAGGAGTAAAATGATTGTAAATCAGTCTCTTAAATTGAATAATTGGTATTGTATAACGTGAACTCCGTACACCACATTCATACATGTCCACCTTCATCATCTCCAGCTAGCTCGACTCTCTAGAGCTTTGAAGTAGATGGGCATGAGCAATGTTTGGTCTCGTTTTTCTCAGGTGAAACATGTAAAGAAGACTGATTGAAATTCTGCGTTGACTGCGGAACATCCAGAGCAGGGTTTTTCTCGAAAAAACCATCCGGTCTGAGCATGATGCTGACCTTCTCCATGGGCATGACAGGGAAATCCTCCGGGCGGGGGTTATGAGTAAGTGCGAAGGCTACACATTCTGTTAGTATACACTGATAGGTATAGAGGGTTCACCTGACTTACTATGCCAGAGGACAACATCCGTGTTTTCGACATCATCTTCTCGAGCGACCCATTGCTCAACACCAGAGCTTCCCTTGCTTTGATTAGTGAATTCGCCGGCAGCGTACAGCTCATCGTCTCGGTACTTGGTCACCCATATTGGCCTTGTAGCGAACTGGGCCCGTTTCATGTTGAAGCTGAGGGGGTGCATAAGCATGAGCTGGCTGGGCAATGCGTGCAATTTGTAGGCAACCGGTTTGCCAGATGTAGGGTTGATGATATTGTCGTTCCGGATCTTGAAAACACGGGCATCAGGAACACTGAGGTCCGCAGCTGTTGAACGCTTGATAACCTTGGTTTTTTGGACATATCCCACACCGTAAGGGTTTGTAACAGGGTCATCTGGCATTGAAACGCTGTCTTGATATATTACCGTATTGTTGTATCCGTCAATGGCTGGATCAATACGAATGCTGAATATGTGCTGATGGTAGGCAGCCATGACTCCTGGAGCCACGTTGGTACCGAATGGAACAGACACTCCTTCGTCAATGGGCATGGTAGACAATATGCCTGTAGCCCGGACTTCAAGCTCGATATTTCCAGCTTGATCGAATATCCAAGCAAAGATGTACTCGTAATTTGCAACTGTGCAGATCATTTGCAAAACAAGTTGACGGTTGCGGACCACAGTGGCCGCCTGGGAGCGGTAGTTGGTATGTTTATGCTGTATTCCGTTGTCTTGTTCGTGTAGACAGAGAACGTTCTTCAGCAACACTGGATTTCCCTTGGAGTCGATTCTGTAGCCATCAAAGTACTTGATATGACCGAGACAGTCACAGCCAAGGGATAGCTGGTTGGCTGTAACTCCAAAGCCAACATCCCCGATGTCAAATGCCTGTTTACGGTGGTATGGTGCCCGTGGATCTACACTATTATTAGCTGGTGGAGATAGAGATACTGAATACATAAACTTACCTCCATAAGGAACGGTCATTTCATTCACGGCTAGCCGGTAGAAGACATTGCGTCTGTCATACGTCACGTTATACAGTACCATTCCTTCGCGATAGTTGAATCCGACGTGAAACCTCCACTTCTGCCAGTGCACAAAGTTCCCACTTACAGAAAACGAGGGGCCTTCTGGCTGTTGTACTATGTACGGTTTGAGATCCGTTCGAGTAGGCTCATCCAAGAGATTATGGGCGTACTGAACGGCCTTGACCGGTTTCCAGGGCTGAGTGGGCTTCGTAGAATGATCTGAGCCGGTAGATAGGTAGTCAATGCGGACTAGCTCCTTGCTATTGCCGTCAAATACCGGGGAAAAAGTGCATGGAAGGGAGTAGTGGTTATGCTGGGGGTCTTCGGTATCGACAAGATACATGTAAAACTGAAGAAGACGGCGGGTTTCGTTGGGATCATCCGTTCCATAGATCCAGGGGTCCGAACACACGGTCACTCCTGGTGGAAGCTTCATCTTCTCAACCTCGGCTTTCACAGCAGGATGCTCCAAGCAGAGCTGTTCCATCTCGATCAACTCGTCTGCGTCACAAGGTCCCTATATATTTGTTACCGGGGAATCTTCAACTTAAACTAATGGCTTGGACTTACCTGTATGTCCTTGGGTATCTCCTTTACTTGTAGTAGCACCCGGGTATCAATATTTATCAACGCCTTCATAAAGCTCTTTGTGTCCAGCCGATGGAACATGGCCATGAGGAGGCGAGCAGGCTTCTTAGGCAGGGAGACACATAGTCTCTCTGCCTCAATATAGGGAACGACATCCTTCTTGATGGGCTCCTGGAGGTCGATAACCTTGTACCGCAGAGCAACTCCTGGAAAGGCGTTCTCGAGGATCTTGACAGCCAGCCGGAGCTCGGCAGGCGTCACCGGGTCAAACGGATGTGGTGCCATTATGAAAGAGTGTCTTGATAAACGAGGAACATCACCTATAAACCAAATCTGAAATGAATATACGGAGTGCGGAGTGCGGAGTGCGGAGTCTTTCTTGCACAGATATGAAAAAGAAAATGATGTGGAGGATTGCCACGATAGGATGTTTTAAATAGTTTGAGAGCTCTCACACCGGCATCTCCCTAACCCCACGCAGATCGAGAACACGAAGAGAGAGGAAACCCGGGGCTGAACACATCACGGTAGCTCCATGCAGCCACTCACTGTAGCAGACCGGTTTGCTTCGTTCACTCTCTCCTCCATAGCTTGATGCTAAACGATCCTCCACGCAGCGCCGGCCCAGATGTCGCTTCTTCTCGCCGTCCGCAGGTTTTCCGCCCCGGAGCGTCCAAGCTTTTTGCTGCCACCCGATTGGCCAGGCCAAGAAGCTAATCGCCTGGACTTGCCGCATCAGGAATGGAACACGACAGATCTTGGCATCTATTTATTTTTCTTTTTTTTGTTATTCTCTTCTTTCTCTCTATTTTTTATCCTTTTAAGTGTTATTCTGCTTGATATATTTTATTATTCTTCGTCGTTTCTTCTTCGCCAGTTCATGTATTCTGCGCTATTCTTGGGACAGCCACATGGGATCTGCTGCGAAGATCCGGCCGTTGAGCTCGATTCTAGACATCATGCTCGCATCTCTCTATCTTCCTGCGTTCAAAGATAGAGGATGGATAGAGTTTACTTGAACACGCGTTACGGCCTGACGCCTTCGACTGAAACAGCGTAGTCGAATGAATGGAGGACAGCAACGGCCAACCTGCCAAACGGACTAGGATGGCGTACGCGACGTGGAAGGGACAAGGTGAACAAAGATGATAAGGGTTATCCGTACGCCGTACTCTGTCCGATGTTCGCAGTCAAATGGAGAAGGTCTATGCGGCTCGACGCTGGGCGGTACATCCCATAAATATTACCGCCTACTCCTTCGTATACTCCGCATGCAGGGTATCTTCATTTCCCCGCAGCTTTTCAGCGTCAATCTCGGCTCGCCGTTTTTCGTCTCTCTGATATGTAAATCGCAGGGCGGAACCTTGGAAGGTTCCATGGCGGCGGTGGATCTCGGCGCTGAAATTGCCGACAGCCGATGCGGAATAATTATAATGCCGTTCCGAGATATATAGTCACATGACCAGACGGGCAGACTTGGCGCGAGAGTACAGTACCACCTGGATACTCTCAGTGTGCTAATAAAAAAAGCATGTAATGTCATAGAGTTAATCTCTCTTTTAGGACCATGCTACCGATATATCTACGCCCATCATTGCGCTTTCATTAGACGGGCAGTAATTCTTAAAAAAGCTGATCACATGATACAAAGGAATAATCAATATCCGTTCCGATCTTGGCATTTTTTGAGATGCCGAGGCTCTTCGCATGTGTTTATCGTCTACAACGTGGATTTCTCCATGTTCGACAAACATACCGACTGTTCAACAGACATACCACTAACTAGGCAACTTCAGCTCTTTGCAATTTGTTTTGATATTAAAGCGTGAGGACTGCCGCAGCAATTATTGTATATATGACCAAACCCCCGGATAGCCCGCGCTCTCGGATCCTTGTCCCGGCTTCAGTCGCCTGGACATAAGCTCACTCCGAAACCCCGACGTCATCATGGATGCCATAAAGGTATACACTCGCTCTTAGGCATGCCACTTCAAATCCTTTGGCTAATAGATTCCCTCTATAGGCCAGCCTCAATGAACTCATCCGCAACCCTGACCTCGCTCCTCTATTCGCCATCCTTAAAGGCGCTCGCAATGGTGCGGTATACGGCGCCAAAGTCCGATTTCCACATGCACTGGTGTAAGGATGGGCATCACCCCTATTGCATATAAGCTGAGTATTTCGAAGAGTACATGCTGATATCACCTCTTGTTACTAGGATGATATTTTTGTTCCGGTCTGGAAGGTATGTAGCTTTCCGCCTACACTTCTACGAAGATGAATACTTATACATTTCTGGCTCTACAGTCTAAAGAAAAAGATATGGATGGTGTTGAACGCTACAAGGACACATGCTCGAAACCTCGCCTATTTTGCCGTCGTATACAAGTCATCCATGTGGGCTTTGAAATATATTGGCCCTACCGGCTGGGGTAAGGAGGGTCCATATGATACCTTCCTAGCCGGCCTATTAGGCGGATATCTTGTCTTTGGCAGATCTCCAGGAGACGTCAGTCTACAGGTCAGTAAATCAAACCCCCCAGCCTGTTCTAGAAAGCTCGCCTACTCACTATTGATTTCGACTGGAGATAGATCGTCATCTACGTTTTCGCACGAGTAATGCTAGCCCTAGGGAGACTTTCCATAGCACCCAACCAGCATCCACTATCGTTCCTCATCACACCAAAGGCACGTGAAAACATAAGTGAGGCAGCATGGCCGTGTTTTGCCAGTTTAAGCTGGGCGATGGTCATGTATATCTTCCGCTGGCATCCGGAAAGCATTCAGAACAGCCTGAGAAGTAGCATGACATACATGTATGCTCCCACCGTCTTGAAGTTAACCCCACGATCTATGTTTAAGCGGAAACTAACTCGAACCGTAGATATGTGGATTCCGATTCTTTCGATTCTATCGATACACTACTTATTCGAAATAAATAAAACAGATTAATGGTGCCATTCACTGCATATGTATTGGAATCGAACCGGGAATATTCATACACTTACAGCCATGAATATTGAAACCCTTGAAAATACCACATAAATGGGTGGTCAAGTTTTCTATCATTTCCGTTGTTTTTCTTCATCACATAGATACAGGCGTTTGGTTCTTACATTACATGGGAAATCGGAGTGCGATCTTAACCTTAAACTACCGCTGTTATACTAGCACCATTTTCTGGGACTTTTACTAGCGATTCATTCTTGCGAATAGCTAGTCTACTTGAATGATTTATAGTTACGGTTCACTATAGGAGGTTATGGAGTGTTATATTATCGCATTTGGCTTGTTGAACTGGTATTCTTGATCTCGAGCATTTATCACAGCCTGTATTCGTCTGCCAATAAACCTGCGAATGTTGGTCTCAAAGTAGTAAATGGAAGAAAATATTCATGATCAAAGGACATCTCCATAGTTTTCGTCATTGCTTACCACGTGACAGATTACAAGTAGCTTGGTATCCAGCTCAATGAGGCATAGAGTATATCCTTCTAGGGGTTATACTCTCTAACGATGTTTTGCGTTGCCTTAGATTTGTCCATTCGTAATTTAATAAAACATTTATATTGCTCTGTGAGTATCTAGATAGCCCTGATAGGAGAAGGATAGATGTGGAAGATCTGATAAAAGTGAAAGAAAGACAAGCTTCTTAGTAATCCCACACTACCATCCACGTGATGTTTTTGGTGTTATGACTAAGCGGATGTTGCATTACGTCATCCAAATCAACGTGGCCCATTGGATAGCTGGGCCGGCACACCTGATCAATAAAAAATAAAATGCGTAATATAGCGGCTACAAGCCTGATCGCGACGACCGTCGGGATAAGGGTTCATGGGCCCATTTCGTCTATATATTGAATAAATGTGTCTTTGATATTGAATAATTATGGGCGAAAGCGCTGGGCTGCGCTTGAGCAGCTCGATGATTCTGACAACATTCGATGCGAACCGGGGAAGCCTGCTAACATCGATTTCTATGGACGCCACTTTGTCAAAAGGAAAATTATCAAAGCGGGTGTCTCTCTTGGATGAGCTGTTTTCAAGCCTGAAGAGCGCTCCGTGATCAATGATATGTCTCCTGACACGCCTCTTGAAGCGAATAGTGGCCCAGAGGGTTTCATTTTCCTTGTGTGAGAAGGATGGATCGAAACTTATATGTGTCTTGGAATATATAACGTGCGATATCTCATTGTAGAGGCCTTTGCTCGCACGGAGTACTCGTAGGTCCACTTCGGCTGAGGTTTGGGCTGTAATTGGCTGTGCTTCCGGTTCTTTCTTTTGGCCGGCAGGGAAGAACTCCAACCATATAAGCTCCCTAATTTCGAAAGGGAGCTTCGAGAAGTCACCTAGGCTGCGAAATAGATCTATATTGATAAGAAGCTATTTGGATTTTTCTTTTCTCGCCATATTTCGGTAATATTGGGTATATATGAGTAGGAGTTCAAATTCTGGAGAGCAGCAGCCGGACCTGCGTATGTCGTTGCATTTTATACACCTAATTGTGTATGATGTCATTAACCATTCATGGGGCGTGGTTCCGTTGATATAAGCTCTAAATGGTAACGGCTCAACCGAAAGGAAGGAGGATATGCGCAAACTCTGGAGTATCGGATAAACCCTTAGGAAAGTTTCAACAAAATGCTAGGCACCCTATGCCAAATATTCACTAGAGGGCCAAGGCAACTACCATGATCAGGGTCATCATCTTTATCATCCCGATTTATAAATTGTGGTATTGAGATTTCGGTCTGCGTAGTAGCATGTGAGTAGGTACCGGCGAGGCTACTGTCAACACTAGGACTGATATATTGCTCAAGGATGGGCTGAGATGGCGTTTCTCTAGAATAATCTGGAGCAAGTATGAGTGCTGAGGTTGATGTGTTATTCTCCGGCAGTAGTGTGTGATCTTCTATGTTAGGGTTCTCCAGATCGGTTCCAGCTCCTTCTGGCTCCACTTGGTCTACAGCTTCTATGCTGCTGGCTGTGGAACCTTCATTATCGGATAGAGTATATGCAACGAGATTCTCCTCTTCTGGGCTAGAGTCTCCCGAACTAGTCTCTTCCTTCTCCAGTTGCTCCTCATTTGACTGTCCACTGCTATCCTGCTCAGAAGAACCGCGACTCGCATATGGAAGCGGTTGGGTGGCATTACGAGAATCATTACTGTCTGTAGTAGATTCTTCTTCTTCTTCTTCTTCTTCCTCTACCTCCGGCCAAGAGTAGTCGCCATGGTTCATCCAGGGAGTTCGACTGATTGAGTGAACACCGGTATTAGCTTCAGTTCATTACAATTTGGTATAAAATGAAAAGGTACGTACCAGCAGGGACAACTAGGTTGAACGTGATCACTAAACGATCGTTTCCATTCCTCTATACATTCGGCATGGAAATTTGAGCCACATTGTGCCATGCACCATGTTGTTCTAGGGCCATCAAGAGGCCTGGTATGGCGACGCGATCTCAACCCTGGTACAAGAACTTCTTGACAGACTGGGCAATCCTCGTTGGGTTTGATAGATTTCCTGGCGGTATATCGAACGGGAGTGGTATTGGATGAATTAGACAGAGCAGTGGGAAGATGGGCAATAGGAGGCTGTGAAATAGACTGTCGAGAAATGATCGGGCGAGGGACTGGCACAAAGGTAGGTTGTCCAGAGGATGTGTCTCTTTGATCACTTGCGCGTCCACCAAAACCTACACTCCTTGGTGGTATTGGAGCACGAACTCGTCTGGTCGTAGACTGGCTAGCATACGCTGACTGCCGCTGTGAGAGAGGAGAGCGAGTAGGGATAACATAGGCGGGTTGTCCTTGCGCCAATGAAGAAGCGACCTTCTCTGCCCACCGCTGGGATACAGCTGCGGCCTGGTATTGATGATATCTCCTGCAAAGGACAAGGGGACTAGCCGTTCGAGGGTCTGAGATATGTCATGTCCATTACATAGCTGCTCATTCCCCAGATTTAGTAACCTTGATGCGATGTTTAGGCTGTGCCGGGCGATAGGGTTGCGGCAGCGGCGTCCTTGGCTTGGAGCGAATCCATAACATGTACGCTCGAGGGAAATGCCGATGATGTCTTCAAGTCTCTCTTGTTCAGAAACCGGTACAATACTGTGTGCGTCATCACCGATGCTGGAAGACCAGTAGTCTGGCGTGGGGTCTGAATGCCACAGTGGAGTGTAAGAGGCGTGGCCCGAAAAAATGGAGCCCATTTCGGACGGCCGGGCTGGTGTATCTTCTTTCAGGTTGCAAGTGTGGCTTCTATGGGGAGGGAGAGCCATGCCATTTTCTGATTCGATTTCTGGGGTTGAAGCGAGGACTGCCGAGGAAAGGCAGGAATTATATATCCTTGGGTTGCTTTTCCATGCCGGCATGACTTAGCCATAATCCAACGCTCTATCGATTTGTCACAGCCCCTGGGAGTGATATCAATAGATGAGGTAGCTAGGACACACTGGGGACAGGGTATAGACGCTCTCACTCCGCCTCCATGAATCATGGGGGGTGGCGCATCGAAATATAATCAATGTACTGTCCATTTTCGCCTTGTAATTAATTCATGCATTGCAAGTTGATGAAACGTTTGCTGTTTCCCCGGCTCCCCGCAAGGAAGCGTTTTTTGGCACATGTTGCATCTCGCACATCCAGGAATGACTGATCCATGGGAGCGGCAGTTATATGGCCAATGCCCCGCGAAGCTTGGTCGACATCGACAAGACCGGATTCTATCCTGTAAGTGGTCAGCAAGGGACATGGATGCAAGTTTGACGTATGCAGCGCTTACAAGGTTGCGGGACGGTTGTAACTTAGGAGTCTCTCATGCGAGGCCTGTACACGATAGAACCCGCAACGAGGTGACACCTATGCTTATCCTCCATCTATACGATATGCAGGAGATCATGTTTCGATTCCACATGCGGATGCATAGGATATCTTGGAGATGTTGGATATTTTTTAGCCACCTCTGGCGTTGACATGTCTGAGCTACAGTCAAGAATAACTGTTGAGCCTCCTTTCTTTCACAAAACAGTTGGTGTATCATCCGGAATCCGTTAGAGACAGCCTTCTTCGCTGTATTCTCGTATTCTTATTGATATTTAGCTATGGGAACTTTTCGCTGGTGGTGAATGTTCATGCAGGTGGCCTCCACCCCCAGCACACCCGGAGCAATCCTGATTAGACACCCAAGTAGAGCCGGACCGATAACCTGAATTCTTAAGAGTTTCTTCTGTGAATATTCTTCGTTCGAGCGCACTTCGGTCACTTGCAGGAGAGAAGTAAAAAGGAATGCCGCGAGGGGGCTTGCTGCTAGTAAAGGCTGGAAGAGCAAGGATAGATGCCTATCTTTTGAATGCTGAGCGGGCTGCCGTCCACGCCCTGTAAATCCGTATTATCGCCCCTCCCGAGCATCGCAGGATATCGAAATTGTATCCATATCAGACAGCTATGAAGTCCCTGAGGAGGTTCGGCGTCGCGGCCGGCTGTCTGCTATGGGCTGCGCTGGCAGACTGCGTCCCCTTCACGGTCAACACCACCAACGGCCCCATCACCGGCCACCCAGCAAAGACAGCGTCAACGGTCCATGAGTTCCTGGGGATTCCGTATGCTCAGCCGCCTGTCGGCAAGCTGCGATTCATGCCGCCGCAGCGATATGTTGGTGACCAGCCGTTCGTCGCCTCTAACTTTGTACGTTGATGACCGCGTTGTAGCTAGTTGACTGGAGGAGAATTGACGATTTAAACAACCTGCTAACTAACCAGCTGCAGTCAGCGTGAGTGCAATAGTATCAAGTCCCAAAAAATACAACAGCAGGGAATGCTTGTTGGTTCAACCGATGGACGGGGTTGGCTGATGATGTCTATCAAGCGACTGCGTGTACACGCCGGCGAAACTGGTCCCTTTCCCCGGCGCGACGCCCAACTACGCTAGGATCCTGACGGCCTTCATGGGCAGCGGTGCCAACGTCCACAGCGAGGACTGCCTGACGCTGAACATCTGGACGAAGGGCACTGCAGGCCGGAAGAGACCCGTCCTGGTCTTCTTCTACGGCGGGAGTATGCTGTCTATCCTGTTTCCCCCTTACTGCGAGGTTGCGTTGCTGACGTGACGTAGGATTCACCATTGGGGATACCAACACCCCCTTTTTCGACGGCCAGTTCTTCTCAGAAGCCGAGGATGTCGTGGTGGTGACCGTCAACTATCGAGTAGGCATCTTTGGCTTCCCTGGTGCCCCCGGACTGCGCCAGAACCTGGGCCTGAGGGACCAGCGGCTGGCGGTTGAATGGCTTCGGGACAACGCCGGGGCCTTTGGCGGAGACCCTTCGAGGATAACCATCTTCGGGCAGTCGTCTGGAGCTCTGGCAGTCGATGCGTATTCCTATGCGTATCGAGACGACCCCATTGTGGCTGGCCTGATCCTTCATTCCGGTACCATCTTCAGCTTCCCTCTAAATTCGAGGGAGCTGGCGGCCAGGAACTGGTACAATGCGTCTTCTCTCGCAGGCTGCGGCTCAGCGGGAGATGTGCTGGCCTGTATGCAAAGCAAGCCTGTGGACGATATCAGACTCGCGGCGGATAAGGTCCCTCCGCCGCCTAATACGAGCGTTGCTCGCTCACAGCCTGTGTTTCAGCCAGGCCCAGACGGTGAACTTATCTTTGATGACTATGAGTCCCTGGCGTCTCAGGGGAAATTCATCCAAACCGTGAGTCCGTCTTAGATAGTTTGTTATGCTGCTGCTCTTTACGTTGGGATCGTAAGCTGAATTGTTATAGCCCATGATACTTGGCCATGGAGACCGTGAATCTTCATTCTACAACATCTCTGCTTCGGCTCGAGGCACTGTTCTCACAGACGAGCAGTGGGCCCAGTTCGTTACAGACGTGTTCGGATGCCCGGCCATGAAGGAAGCAGATTACCGAACTCAGCACAAAATTCCGCTATGGAGATATCGTTACTTTGCTGATTGGACCAATACTCGGCTGTTCCCTAACAGTGGCGCATACCACGGTGTCGACCTCCATATGGTCTTTGGCAATTCCCAGGGAGTGACCGGAGATTCAGAATCGCCAGATCAAACCATTCTCAAGAGAATCATGCAAAGAGCCTGGGCTGCCTTTGCAGCTGACCCCTGGGCTGGGCTCAAAAGTCAGGGATGGCCTGTCTACAAGAAGGACGGTAAGCTGGCTCCCGCTCCCGCTCCCACATTCTACAATTGTTTGCTACGGGACAGATAACTTACGGCATAAACCTATTATCAGCCTACACCGTGGCCCGTCTTGGGTATAATAACAGCCCTTTTCCGGATTTTGTCAAACCGGCAGCTTATGATGCCAATTGTCGTGGTGCTTAGGACGCCCATCCTCTTTTTTCCAACCTTCTTCAACTCAGTGTCAATGTTAAATCTAATCCAAGAAGAAGTAATATTTACGCAAGGCCTCACTCCAATTTCATGTGGTTGCGGCCATGTCCAGTGATAGAACAAGCCAAAAATCAACGGTATCTATACCGAGTCTCATGCAGAGTATGTTCAAGTGGTACTCTGAACTCCAGGCTTATATAACACCAGAAACGTGCAGCCATGGCTATGGTAGCTTCAGACCAGCCTGCAAGCCTCCAATAGTCCCGCTGTCATTGCAACGGTAAAGTCAAACAGCGCCTCGAAGCTATCCCGTCGTCTGGCCCGAAGTTGCTTGGGAAGTAACCAAGTATATTACCGGCAAGGATGGTATATAACGGAATAACCCTTCACTAGCTAGCTACCGGGGGAGAGGATATCAATGCACTGCCGTCCCGTCCATCTGCCCTAAAGAAGTTCATTGGCTATGCTTCGTACAGACTCGCGTAGGAAGCGCAAGACAGCCATAAGGGTTTGTTCTCTCAACCCAGGACAGAAACCGCCTGTATACAGACCACCTTGATAGTTGAGAAAGGTTCAGTCGTCCTTACTAAGTCTCGTGGGGGTGCACTCCATGGACTCGCTGACTTTCATACAAACTCTAGTTACCGAAGAAGCAAAAAGATGCGTTTTCCATATCCCCCTTGAACCAGAGCCGGACCGCCCGGTAGTCCACTGAGATGGGTACTCAAACTCATCCCTGCATCTCTCCATTCCTTTGGAGTATGCTTCGTCGCCGTTCGGAGTACCCCGGGAGTGTGAGGTCCTCTCGATCGTCCATCTTGTCTGGGGAATGTTCGAATAGCTCCAGGTTCTCACAACCACTGCGTGCGTGGTCATGTTTGTATCGACATCATCCTTCGAGGGTAGTGTAACCAGTTATATCAGCCACCTCCAACTGGCTGTGCTGAAAGCCATGGGCCAAGGTCACAAACAAGGCATAACTAGTTATTACCCAGGTAAACCTCAGCGTTTCGAATGCTTCCCCCCCTCCCAGTGAAAATTCAGACCTCTAAACGGCCAGTTTCAGCCTCCCAGGCAAAAAGAAGGCTCTTCATCGTCACTGTGCAGGGAGTCCACACAAGAATACGATAATGGGTTGAAACACAGCTCGTGGAACACAAGGAATGGAAAGGGATAAGCCTGCCAGTGAAGGATCAGCCTTCGAATTTCTTCATTTCACCACCATCTAGACTCTCAAAATGGCCTTTTCCTTGCTTGCTTTTTCCTTTCTGACTCTCCTATCCACCCGGGAAGCCATAATTTTTATACCTACGGAGATGGCAGTGGCAACCATTCACAAATTAACCCAAATAAATCAGCATGGATAGGAGTTCGAAACTGACGGGCGTCCTGATAGTTGCTCAATCATCCGCGCCGTCGTGGTCCCGTCCGTATTTGAACTCCTGTTTAGCTGGAGATCTTGTCCTGTACCCAGCATGGCATATCACCGCCCTAGCCGGGACCCCTTGGAGTAACTAGTGGACTCGAGATCTGACCGCGAAGCATGGCACGCTAGTCTTGCTTGGACCTCTCGATCGACTGCATCAGCCAGCGAAGCTGCCGTCGTGCAAGAGGTGGCTTTTTTGCCTTTCCAGCCAGCCCTTAAGGAGTTCATCTCTGGCGCTGTCATGCACTGGTTCCTGCGGATTATGTGTATATATTTTTTCCCCAACCTGTGGCGTACTGTCTGACCTTCGATACCTCTCCTTTTCTTTTTCGCTAACTACATCTTTCTTGTTCCTCATCTTTGCGCCGACGTGGGATGGCATAGCCGGCGTTTGGAATACCCGGGGCGACTTCTTCGCTGAAGCAGAAATAATAACAGGAAAAAAACTTTTCAGCCTGGACCTCCTGATGGCTCCTCTGGCAGATATATTATATCTTCTATCAAAGACCCCGAAGCAACTCACTTCATCCTGCTGGACCATATCAATCTCCAATCCATATTCAGGCTCATTCTACTCGAATTTCAGTTCCAGGCCCTGATAAAAAACACATACAATGACACAGTCGGGACCACAAAAGGGTGATCCAACCTTAGAGATATGGATAGGTGAACGGAGCCTATACATCTTCATTGTCTTTTTGACCGTCTTCGGCTCTGTCATCTTGATTCCTACCGCATATATTCGCTGGCGGCATGAACGACTGAGGGAACCGGAAGTTAGCTTTATTGTACTTGCATATATATTCTTCCTTGCAAACGAGCTCGTCCTCCTTGGCCTTCAGACACGAGTCTACCGGCTGAGCTATGTTGCTCTACGGATGAAGCCGCCCTATAGGGAGATCCTCAATGATAGACACGACGTTATCATTCTTGCATATGCCTCAACCTACCTCTTTTACTCCGCTCTCTGGTGCATCAAAATTTCCTTGCTCCTTTTCTTCCGTCCATTTCTGAGGGCATTACCAGATCAACTTCGGTGGTGGAATGTGACAATCACGTACCTCTTCATCACTTTTGTACTCGGATTCCTTGCTACTCTGCTCTCCTGTGGTGGACCTCGACAGCTCAACCACGTTGCTCCGGGCCAAAGTAGGTTGACTTTCCCGAAAGCCTTTCCGCTAGATATATACTAACATTGCATAGAGTTCTGTCAAGGCCGTATGGATTCCATAACCCGAAACATAAGTTTATTTGGTTGGTTTGCCGCGGATGTCTCAACTGATCTGCTGGGTACGTTATTTCGATATTTATCAAGTTGACACAGGCGCTGATACATTGTCATATAGTCATGATACTTCCGCTCAGACTCATATATGGAATGCACATTTCATACTCACAGAAGATTAGAGCCGGTGCTCTATTTTCTGTTGGAATGCTTTGCATGATAACTGCTATTATCCGTCTTGTTCAAATTGGCTCCAAGACTGGTATTACAAATCCAAATGTCCAATGGCTGTCTCTCTGGGGGACTGTCGAAGCTACAACTGGTATGTGCTTCTTGGATTCCTAGATAGAGAAGATGTTAATGGCCCATTTTTAGCCATGGTTGTCGGGTGTCTTCCGACCTTCCGGTTGATCTTCAAGTCGCCTCCCAGGCATGACCAGCTCACTTACTCGATTAAAATGCCTTGGAACAATGAATCGAGCTCCAACCCATCTACTTCGAGCGGCACTCAACAAGAAGCCCCTTCGTCGAGTTAAAAAGACCCTCGGAGCCTAAGGCAATAGCTGAGGTCAAGATAAGGTGACTGCGTTACCACGGGGCTTTCTCCTGCTGGCAGGGACACGATCTCCAGTTATCAAGGGAAGATCACTCTATATTTTCGACACCTTACTATGGCTATAGCAATACTTCTCTTTTTGGCTCTTCCATTGCTTTGAAAGCATTAGAGCATGTTTTTATTTTACCGGCTATTAGCTTTGGCCATATGAGTTACGATATCGAATTTCGAGCGCTCGATGGCTAGTATCTTATCTTGACATACCCACATACCCCCGAATTGAACATGTTAACTAGTTATGCATAACATCTAGCCCTTAAATAATACATAATAAAACAATATTGAAGTCATGACTACCACACCGCTACCAACTAAATGGCGAGAATTTCATATTCATCAATAAATAACTCTAGTATTTATTCAAGTACACCTATGTTTAGAGGGTCCTCTCTATGCAGAAAGACGGCTTTGGAGAGCTTGAATTCTCTTCGAGCTCTCCTGGAACTCAGTCATGGATAAAGTACCCTTCTTCAAGGCCGCCACGATCTCGTTGACGATGGCCTCTCCTTGCGTAGCATTTCTTCCAGATGCAAGCAAGATATCCACTCCCGCCTTTGCGGCCAGTACACCTCGCTGTCCATCATTTCCAAAGGATTTCAGAGAACCAGCTTCGATGGCATCGGTGATGATAACGCCCTTGTAGCCGAGCCTTGTTCGCAGCTCATCCGTTGCCCACTTTCTGCTCAGCCCAGCAGGATACTTTGCGTCAAGGGAAGGGTACACTGCCCAAGATGTCATGATCATATCGACTCCGTTACGGATGGCAGTTCGATACGGCACCTCGTCGAAAGTACGGATCTCATCCAGAGACAAATCGATCTTGATAGGAACTAGATCTGTGTTTTCACCCTTCTTCGCGGCTCCAAGACCAGGGAAGTGCTTTACTGTCGACAGCACGCCGGAACGAGACTGCGAAATAACGAAGGCTGAACCACATGAGGTGACTATTTCAGTATTATTACCGAAAGAACGGCCAAATTCGTCAATGAAGTTCCCTTCTTCACGGTAGATGTCCAGAACAGGAGCCAAGTTGCCGTTGATCTTCTGTGCTTTTAGAGCTGCTGCAGCGTCCCGGCCAGCCTGGCTAGCGGCTTGCATGGGAGTTGAGGAATCACCAATCTGGCGAGCACTCTGGCTTGGGCCGCCAGGGACACGACGGACATTGCCTCCCTCTTGGTCGGTGGTGATAATCATAGGATGGCCATTATAGGCTGGCGAGGCTTTGTAGAGAGCCTGGAACTTGTCCATGATAGCTGGCAGGTTGGAGTTGACATTCTCTTTGAAGATGATCAGGCCGCCTACTTTGCCTTCTGATGTGAGCTTGTACAAGCTCTCGGGGGGTGTAAGGCCTGGATAAGAGTACATGACATGTTGGCCGGCTTGGACTGCGAGGTCGACAGCGATCGCTAGAGCAGCAAGTGCTGCCAGCTGGGCAAAGAGAACGAACTTCATGGCTTATTGGAAAATGGTTGTTTGATGGGTGGGTATGAGGAAGTGATGTATGATTTATACTTAAAGCTTTGCTTCGAGCATCACGAAGACCGGCCTTGGGGCATATTTGGGGCCAGTTTTCATACATGCAATATGTCGTATTCGTGCCTCATCGATGTACTGGGACTGACTGTGGTGCTGCCACCGTGCCATCGATGAATGGCACCCAATTGTTCGTGTTGGCGCTTGTTGCAGCTCGTATACGAGATGCTATGGCGATAAACTTCAAAATACAGCCATCAAGCCCCTGGATACCCCACAATCAGCGAGGATCTTCCATGAGAAGCAAGGCGGACTACCAAGGATGACAATAATAGATCAAGTTGGCCGATAAGCAGTGTGGGAGTGAAGTACGTAGATCTGATTTGTCGGGAGTGCTGAAGAGCTCGACTATGAGCTGTTAAATATATGAATCGAAATTAAACAAGAGATCGAAGGGTATATCAAAAGTGAATAGGCACACACATTATAGGGCGTGCTCAAGGTATCAAGGAGTAGGGAAGAATGGAAATAAAAATAAAGCCCAAGTGAGCGGTCGAAGAAACGAGTCGAAGGAGCGGCAAAAAAAAAAAAAAAAATAATAAAAGTAAAAATGCTCCTTCAAGGCGGGAATAGAACAGAAGTGAATGCAATGGATATCATGAAGAAAGCCCAGAGAGCAAAGGAAAAGAAAAGTCGAGTCAAGGGTCAAGTCAAGAAGGTAAGGCAAGAAACCACCGAAAGGAAAAGTATCAAAGTGCAGGCACTAAAAATTAAACAGAAAAACATTAAACAATAATTCATCCGATCTCAGGGTAGGAGAGCAGAAACGGTAGTAAATATTTTGTTGTCCCGCCGTCAGTTATATCACATAGCACAGCATAGCAAGGCGTATATAGTATGGCACTTATATTCATGGATTGAGAAAGGGAAAAAGGCGAGGTATTAATTGAGGTAAGATTTCGATCGGATAGGTGTATGTAATGAGAAGCTATCTTCTATTATACCATCATCAGCTTTGTTGTCCGTCGTTCCGGAAATTTTCTAGTGGAAGGGTATGGTCCGTTATCGAGTCCAGGTGCTGGAGTTAGTGACGAATTAACGAACTGGTGTTCGGATGGGTGTGGTCTATGTTTATCGGGTCTTGGTCGAAGAGATGATGGATTCATAGGTCGGTAACGAGGGTCACCACGACCGCCTTGCCGTGGACCTGCAAGTGGTGATGAAGGGGGCGGTGGCCTCCTGTATCCTGGGCCAGGCCCCGGACATGGAGGACCCATGGACGGAGGCGGATGGCCCTGGTAACCATGTGGTGGAGGGAAAACTAGCGATCGTGGAGGAGGCATCAAACCTGCCGCCCTTCTACCGTCACGCTCACAGTACGCGCTGCCGTTCCACTCAAAGTAGTCGCCTCTGAGTACGATGTGACAGGTGCGGCACTTGAAACAGCCTGGATGAAACTTTTGGCTCTTCTTGCTCGAATCAATTCCAACTCCGTTCGATGGGTTGATGTCCTCTGCTTCGAGACAAGGGCCTTCAATCCCTTCACCGCACTCTGCACACAGGGTGCCATTTAGCCTGTGGTAATCTGCCGCACAATATGGATGATTGTTAAGCACGTAAAAGTCTGCTGTTTGGAAGGGGGCATGACAGGTATGGCAGACAAAACAAGACCTGTGATAACGGCCCGTCAAGCGGCCATCTGCTGAGGAAACTGACTTTCCGGTAATAATTTCGCCGCAACCACGGCAGGCATGGCGGCGTTTCCCGGGAGTTGCGGATCGGGATGGAGGTAGTGGTTGGGCTGCTGATCCATCTTCCGGCACTGGGGGAGGTCGCTGCTGCTGCTCTCGCACCTGCTGTGGTTCTTGTTGTACTTCGGGCTGTAGCGGTGGTGAAAACGGAGATTGTTGTTGTTGTTGCTGCTGCTGCTGTTCGAAGGTTGAGGATTGTGGGTTAAGGGATTGAGTAGGGGAGCGGTATGGGGTGTATTTCTTTGGCTGTGCTGGCTCGAGCTGTGTTGATGGGGTACTGTATGTTGTCTTTGAGTTCGAAGGGAAAGTATTAGCCGGAGGATTGGAAAGTCGACCTTGCTGGAAGAGAGGATCGGTTGGAGAATCGAGTTCGTAAGCGAAGGGATCTACTTTTGGTCGGGTTGGCGGCTCTTCTTGGAGGAGACGCAGATGATCGACATTGTATTTCTCCGACAAGCTTGACTTAGGTTCGGAAATGTTGGAGAACTCAGATGGCCTGCTTGAGAAAGAGCTGTTCGAGGGAGTCTCCGACGGTGATGAGTCGGAAGACGAAGTAGAATCATTGGTGGTGTGATATGGATCGCTGATACCAAGGCCGCTGGCAAAATTTGAGACGGAGGACTCCCTTTCGATTTTGTACTCCGAGACAGACGGGCCCGGGCTGTCTGGAGCTTTTTCCGAATCATCTTCCTCTATGTTTTCAAGTTTGTTATCGACGTCCATCATTTCAGGAGATTTTGTTCTCGTAGTAAAGCCGAAATCCAGCCCTTCCATGCCATCTAGTTGTCGTACTTTGTCCCGGGGTGAGGTTTCTGGAAGATCTTTTTCCTGATTGTGATTTTCATTGTTATCGTTGCTGCCAAAATAAAAAGGCTCTGAATTACCGGATGTGAACACGGGACTGCTGGCGAGGCTAGCAACAGGCCCCGACGGGGGCGGGGGAATACCCCGGTCCTCACACCGGCTTCGCGACGATCCTCTGGGTGAAACCGGAGAAGGAAGTCCATGTCCATTTTTAGAGCTGGTCATGGACAAGCGCTGGAAGGCCTTGCTATCTATCGATGCCTCTCGTCTATGCCTGTTGATAGTTGTTGCACGCGAACTTCGGCCATCCGTCGATGGGGACATATAGCTTCCATCTGAAGATGAGGGAGAGGTAACCCCTCTGCGAGAAGAAACATTGGTGTTTATGGATCTTATAGATGCAAGCCTCTTCGCTTTTGATCCGCCTGCAGAAGCCGACCTAGGAAAAGGAGGGAAAGCACAGTCTAAATTTGCCTTCCCTTCAGGTACAACCGCAACAACTGAGGATTGCGAGGCGACAGGGCTGGTATGGCTTCGCTGTAGCTGCTGGAGGGGTGAAAGTGGTGAGGCAGACCGTGGAGTGAGTGCTCCAGAACTTCCCGTGTGAGGAGACATCTGAGCACCAGGTGATAAAAATGGTCGATCTAGAAATTTGTTAGCATATACCGTCAAACTTGAAGCCATTATTCCACGGTAACTGTGGGATGATATATACGTACTAGCAGCAGTTGGATCTATCCTTGGAGGTGGCTGCACGCGTCCTAACCTGTTAAACAGGGACTCACGACTGAGACTCCGTTTCGGTGGCGGGCCGTGTTCGTTGAACTCTGCCACTGACAATTGCTCTTCAACGGGAGAAGTTGTCACGGTAGGACCCGCGGCTTTTGAGCAAACATGGTCTCCGAGGGCAACGAGCTCGACTTCCGCATGGCAGTCGGAGCATTTAATCTTGGGCAAAGCGTCCATCGTGATCCTCCCCCGACAACGTTGTTGTTGACAAAAGCAGCCAGATTCACTGCATATGTGTAGAGAGAGACATAAGTTGGGCCACCCTTCTTTCTTTTTTCCTTTCCCTTCCGTCTGTCCGTCGTCAACGCTGCTTGCGTGGACTCAACACTGCAAGACGCTTCCCGGAAATTGGACGTCTCTCCGGCTGTCCACGGTCGAGCTAAGATGTAGCGAGAATTAATCAAACACGCAGGGCTGATGGTTATGATTAAGATTGAGTCAATAATAATAATGTCTATATAGTCTTCTGGTCAGCACGATTCTTGTAAGGAACAGTGGGAAAAAAGTATGAATCGGTGTACCTGGAGTGGGCGCACTGCAGCCAGACGAGACCGACTCTTATGCTGTGGGAGGCTATCAGGAGGTCCAGGGGAAGGCCTGCTGTCTTCTTCTAGAAGCCAGCTGGGAGTAAAATCGAAGCAGAAGCGATGATCAGAGCCCTGAGAGACAGCGTTTTGACTCTTGGAGTTGGGGGCTGTCAGACAGAGATCTCGGATGGATAGGTAGAGAGACAGATATGGAGAGGAAACGGAGGCGGCGAGAGATGCGAAAGAGGGCGTGATGGACAGCTGATGAAGCGTCTCGATCGACCTGCTCTGCCCTCTCGTCCTCCCCCCTTTGCCTCTTCTCGAAAGCGCCCATGGGAAGTAGATTGTCACGTGCATTAGCTTCCCCTGTCGAATCGACCGATGAACTATTCCCCTTTCGGTAAAGTGCCAGGTACTTTGTGTCCCAAAGAGGCAAAGCGCCAGGCCCGTCCGCTGTGGTCAGGCTGACTCAGCTACAATTAACCAACCAGAGCGAAGTGACATCGACGCGCCGCGGTGGATCCGGCGATCGCCAGGCGAAGAAAAGCCCCTGAGGCACAAAAAAAAGGGGTTCAGCCGAAGAGAAGCTAGCAGCGTTGGATATGCAGGTCATGGTGGAAAGCGTGATAGATTTGCTCCCTGCGCAAAATAACAACACGAGGACGGCTTTCCAGTCGATGTGATAGCAATGGGCTGTCCCATGATCGTTCGGCGGCTGGAAAATAAACTGGGTGTCGAGGATATTGATCCACTGGCTGTTGTTTCGTCGTGCTGGAGTTAGCATGAACGTGTGAGCCATGCCAAAGAACCGGGCTGCGGGAGCTGATTGGGCAATGTCTTTCGAGCCTGGGGTCGTTGGCATGCAAACAAGGCACACTGGAAGTTGTTAGGGCAACAGGGTACATGGATCACTTGTTTCATCGTATATGCAAGCCTTTCCCGACTGTCCACAACCCACCTGCCTACGGAGCTTTTAAATTTGTTTGCCCCAGGGCGCACAGTGTGAAGAGAACCATGTTCGATATTCCAGCCCGAGATAGAGCAGTCCCATGGCGAGATTTTGCGATCGGCGATTACCTATATCACAACTGGAGTCAGCCATGCAAGTGTACCATGGTTGTCATAGTGCGTTGACGAATACATATCCCACCTGCCCCGTCTTAATACATAAGGTCTGCATCTGGCGCCGGGTTTCGCATCACAACGACCATGGAATAACCGGAACTCGTCCGCAAATCCCCATTATCACCAAGCTGGTTCCTTGGGTCTTCTAGAGGAATTTCGACTCAAATTTCGATCTGACGTCGTTTTTCTTTTGTTCATCGAGGGAACTGAACTTCCGTTTTTGGACGTCACGTGAGCGTTGCCGTGGTTACGGAATAACTATGTTCCGTCATAACCGCCCGGGCGGCCTTTCCCCTTTAGGAACATATGACTTCTTCTATCAAAGACTCGAACATCGATTTTGATATTGGAGACGACGAGATGAAAGCATCACTTTCCAGCATGAAGATCACCAAATGATTCCTCAATGTGCAATCCGGATTTTTAACCACCGGAACGACCAACTTTTCTTCGACTGAACGCCAAGATCGGGTGTTGTAGCACCGGCCCGGCGAGCCTCACGCAAGTGGGTGCCTGCGCAACATTGTTGAATCCTTCAATAGCAACTGAGGCACTTGGTTTGGATATTAACCGGAGCAAGGCTTTCATTTATCGGGTATCTGCTTATCATATGCTAAGGAAGACGATTTGCGGTCAAGCATAACTTATAACCTGTGACATATGTATATCGCTGCGGGCTTCAGAGGAGAAGCTTGGAAACCCTGTCCGCATTATCGGAAGACTTGCTTACTTTTTAAACCTACCGTGTTAAATTTGAGGTCCGATTTGGATACTAGTTGGCTCGAAGTAGAGCGTATTGTCTCTAAGTGAAACTTATCCAGGCATGGATTTTGGAGGTATTCGCCGCTCTCAAGCTGCTACTGTTCTTTTGACATTACAGTGGTAAGACAAGAAAAGGGATTCCCTTTCACAATGATATCTGGATGCCACACCGCCGTTCATGTCCAATCTCTAAGTGGATTTGGGAGAAAATTAAGTCTACGACGTGTCCTAGGATTTTATTTAAGTTGGACACATGTGATGATCGCAAGCCATTTATTTAACGAGTCGAGAGTTTTAGCTGTGCAACAGCACAAGGCAAGCAACCTCTCTTGTCTCTTTTCTGGACCCCTAAAGTCATCCGATACATCTACTCTGCAGGCCTGCATGAAACCGTCTGCCGGTATATTTTTATACCAAACCTCAGGATGTCGTGATTTACAGAGTATACAGATATAAATTGCCTGTCTAACATTAATTAGCATCTCGACTGCAGCTACCCTTCATTTGGGGCCGACCCTGCATACTCCGAAATTACACAATTCCTGCACTACGTACCTCGTGCGTTAAGAGATCACTGGTTTCTCTCTGGCTAAAGCAAAGTATCATATTATTCGGCTGAAGAATATTTATGACACGCTCTCTTCAACGAGACATCCGGTATCAAGGTTTCACCAAGAATAACCAGGCAACTTGTTGCACGAAAACTGTTGAGGCCTTAATTATTCGCAAACTGGAAAATGTTCATGTTAGCAGGCCTGTTCCAGCCGTGTGCCTCGCGGCATTTTGGCCTCTCGGTCGATGACACGGTGAAGACAAGCAAGACGCCACTGCTCTAAATATGTCATTCCAAGGACTCAACTATCGCATGACATCAGGCTAGATCACTAACTTTTCAATATCAAGAAAGCGACTGGCTGGTAGTCGGCGGTCATGGCCGAAATGGGTCGCCTGACCTGCCGTCGCAGGCAAAGACTTTGGCGGCTTAAACCCAAATGGGCAACATCCTCATCTGTTGCGATGTTCCTCGTGGCTAGCGGCAGGTGATATCATACACCTTATCTTCACATCACCGTTGCCCCTAGGCCGACCGATGAGGTACTTTGACATTGTCAAAACGCTACAATCTAATATATGCCCTGTGAACTTGTCATCTCCACCCCTTCGGCACTTGATTATCCTGGGTCCTTGATGACTACCTTATCTTTAGGCGCATATACGACATGATATATCTCGCCACGCTTACGGGTCTTGTGGTAGTTATTACATATAAAATGGATCGTTATCATGCGACAAGTGGCCCGCTCGGCTGTTGCTCTCTCCACATCTATTCTCACTCCTTATACCATGTCTGCCTAATGAAGAAATCCCTTTTGGTATTCGGCTACTTATCGAGATTTATCTTGCCCTTCCTGTTCTGACTCGGTACAAGGAAGAATGTTGGTAACATGGTTTCTCGATGTTCTGCTACTGGCAGCATCCGTTGCTGCTGGATACCCCCCTAAGCCAAAGAATCTGATAACAATCAAGTCTAAAGCCCTACCCGGGGCAACTATCACCTATAAAGAGGTTCCTGTAAGTAGTCATGCCTGTGTTCATATGTCTTGAAGGCCTCCCCTCTTCCTATATGGTACCGGTGCTAATGTGTTATAGAAAGGAGTCTGTGGCAACGTTAGGTCGTTCTCCGGGTATATCAACTTCCCTCCCAACTCTATGCTTGAGGCTCCACAAGACTTTCCAGTTCATATATACTTCTGGTACTTTGAGTCTCAAGTAAAGCCAGAGACTGATCCCTTGGCTATATATATCAATGGCGGGCCAGGGGCAGGGTCTATGGTCGGAGTATTCGTTGAGAGTGGGCCATGCCGCATGAGCGAGGATGCTCAGTCAACTGTACTGAACGAGCATTCCTGGAACAAGGAAGCCAACCTCCTGTACATCGATCAGCCAGTGCAGACAGGATTTAGTTACGATGTGCTCACCAACGCTACTTTTGATTTCAAGACCAACATACTATCCCCTAAAGGACCAGATCATGACCCAAGTAAAGATGGCACCCTTCTTGCTGGCACCTTTGGTAGCGGAGATCCTAGTAAAACTGCAAATACTACTCTCAATGCTGCCAGACACATGTGGAATATCGTCCAGGTGTGGTCCCAGGATTTCTCTCCTTACATTGATAATCGAGAGAATGACAAGATTTCCCTCTGGAGCGAGTCATACGGAGGCCGTTATGCCCCGGGCTTCATGGCATACTTCTTACAACAGAACAAACGTATCAAAGATGGCCGCCTGACCGGTTCCGTTCTTCACCTTGACACTGTCGGGATAATAAACGGCTGCGTGGATTTGATATCTCAGCAGAAGTCAAACATTGATTTTCCATACAACAAAAATACCTATGGTATCCAGGCAATCGATGATGCTGGATATGATAAGGCGATGCATGCCTATGGCAAGAGAGGAGGGTGTCTTGACCAAATATTAGAATGTCATGCTCTCGCTAAGCGCTACGATCCTAATGCATACGGCCATGTTGACGAAGTCAATCACGTATGTGAGCGTGCAAACAATTACTGCAACACGGAGGTAGATGGCATATATGTTGACGGGGCAAAACGAGGCCTCTTCGACATTGCTCAGTGCCACCTAGATCCTTTTCCTTCCAACAGCTTCTTGGGATATCTAGCGAAGACTGAGGTACAGGAGGCACTGGGTGTACCAGCAAACCACACGGACCCCTCATACACAGTTGAGCATGTCTTCAATGTCACTGGTGACTACGTTCGGAGTGACAGGGGTGGACACTTACTTGACATCGCCAACTTGCTAGACGCTGGGGTGAAAGTTGCCATGGTATACGGCGACCGTGACTTCATTTGCAACTGGGTTGGAGCCGAGAATGTCAGCCTTTCAGTCGACTACAAGGATGCCAAAAATTTCAGAAGGGCAGGGTATGCAGATGTTTACACCGATGACTCCGGAGTCCCCAAAGCCCAAGTTCGCCAACATGGCCTTTTTTCATTCACCCGTGTATATCAAGCAGGACACATGATGCTTGCCTACCAACCACAAGTTGGATACGAGATCTTCCGTCGTGCAATGTTCAATATGGACATTGCTACCGGAACAGTCACAGATGATATAGAATTTTACTCTACCCAGGGGGAGATCAATTCAACTCACGCCGAACCCCCTTTGCCAACTGTCCCTCCAACATGCAACTTCTGGGGCATGGCAATGTCATGTGCTAAGAACCAGATTGAGGCCATTCAAAAGGGAGAAGCAAGTATCGTCAACAATATCATTGTGAGCCCGACTCAAGCTCCAGGTGAATGCCCTACGCCTCAACCGACTCGCAAGAGTTGGTTTTATAACAACGACCAACAAAGTTTCATTATTTAGCGGTCGACCAGTCCGTTGTCTTTAAAAATTATGGTTTGATATCATGATTTATGACTTTGTTTCTTTGAATATATTTAGTTTCTGTCGATATAACACCGAGTGATAGGGACGAGAAAATATTGGAATTTGAGCTCATACTTTAAAGAGGTTTCAAATTTTGGTTCAAAGGATATGAGATTGCTCAGGTAGGATTCAGCAGGAAACAACTGAGCGTCCTTGTTCAATGTTCAATTCTACTTCACTTTTACCTCACTTCTATACCCCTTTCACTCTGATAGACTGATACCTCTCTCCCCCCCTCTCAGTTACATCAATTCTATATGTTTTTCGGATATAAAAGCTACCGGCCTCGAGCCTCCTTTGACCTTCACAACTTATCTTCCACCAATATCATATTCCGAGAACTTGGGAGCCTGTTACAAGTAAACCACTTATAGCAATTCTCGCTACACGAATATTCCAGATTCCCAGATAGCAAGCCTTTATCAATTTGACACTAAACAAACTTGATATTTAGGACCATTCACCTGCTTCCTAGGACTTTTATCAGGTATCATTCTCTCATCCTCTAGTCAAGGAACCTAGGGCAACACATCCTTGACTCTGATTCTGATATTTATATAGTTTTCGATCAGCCAACCTTCACTTATAAAGCTCATCATCTCTATTGCCAACTCGAGAGCTTTCAACAGCAAATCCAAGTCTCCTTTACTACTTCTTGTTAGCACAGCATGTTAGCACTACCCGCCTCGGAGAAGATGGCAGACCTGCCGCATGTAATCGAAGTTGACTCTGTTTCTGAACTTCAACGCTTTCTCTCTAGTCTTAGGGAGATTGACATGGATCCAGTTCCCCTGTTTGTCGAATTCAAGGGGAGAGACATCAGCTGTAACGGATCCTTGTCCATTATTTCTATTTTCGTTCGACCAGAGAACGTAATTTATCTTATTAACGTCCATGCCCTCGGCAAGAATAACACTTTCTCCACCGAAGACTCAACTGGAGCAACACTCGCGGAAATCCTTGAATGCCCGGTTCTGCGCAAGGCCGTCTTTGATGTTCGTGGACCCTCAAATTTGTTGTTTCATCAACACAATATCCACCTCGATGGAATAGTAGATATCCAGCTCATGGAGCTCGCAACTAGAAATGGCTCAAAGAAATTCCTTAGGGGGCTGGCAACATGCGTACGCAACGATAGCCCCCTAAGCGCCGTGGAGAAATCGCGTTGGAAAGGGTACGACCAGGATAGAAGAGAAATATTTTTTCCTGAAATGACTGACGACTCGAGTTTTGCTAAATTGTGGACGAAGAACTGTCCATTAACCCAAATCGAAGACCACTGTGCCTATTCTATGGCAGCATTGTCCGGCCTTTACGACGTTTATGATGCGAGACTCAGGCAAGGTGCAACCAATTTCCGAAAAACCGAAATTCTTTCTGAAACCAAAGCCCGGATTAACAGCACCAAGCAGGAAGGATTCGACGTGTATGATAGGAAAAACGCGTATGGGCCCTGGGATGAGGAAGAACTGAAAATGAAAATGGAGCGGCGGGACAGTTGTCCACGAGGGATTACAAGATCGGACAGGGAGTAATGTATCACGGAACATGCTACTTAGAAATTCCTCGGGCGGTTCTAACATTGGGTATTGAAGCCGAAATCAACTTTGTGCTTTCCATGGTACGGAAGATGGGAATGGATATCAAGGCAGAAAGGGATTTTATGAACATTCAAATTTCACATTGCGTTAATCAAAACTTGAGCCAATTTGATTAACAGAATCTCCATGTTATGACTGAATCCCTTTTACAGAGTGTATCAATTTATGCCAACAGTCTAGTTGGGTCATCGTAAAGAGATCAGTACATCAAGTTATACGGGCAATTGAGCACCTGGTTTTGGGAGTAGTCCAATGGCCATCATTGCCTCGTGTAGCTTCTCCAGGTCTCCATCACTGTCGATATAGACGGCACCCATCAATGCCTGGACGGTCCGGGCCGTATAAAGAGGTGTAAGGCTGGTGGTGCCTGACTGCATACCCATCATGCATCGTCCAAGGCCCTTCTTTGTCCCGACATCTGCAAGCTTGCTGTTATCCAAGATATAAGTCAGAAGAGTATTTATGTTTTCTGTCGCGAACAAATGGTCAAATAATTAGCCAACGATCAGTATATGTAAATTTAGACCTATAATTGATAGGGATAAGTGTATTATTTACCTGGGTCCATATCTTTATCATAACCATCCGTGATTAAGAACAGTTCCATGACAGCTTTTCCAACTTGGGCGAGGCCGGTGTTGTCTTTAATCGAAGTAAGACGTCCAGGAAGATTCAAGGCACTTAAAGGTAGGGTTTTGTCCTTGAAGCGGTACTCAAGGAGATCTTCCATAGCCTTGGCCCGCCACATATGCGTCGCCAACAATTTTTTAAGGCCTTCCTCAGCCATCTTCGCGAATTTCAAATTAGTACTCGAAACCAAGAGCTATGGCGAAAAAATCGGCATCGGTCGGCCTTATATTAATAGGGCAACGAAAATAACAATCCAGGAGTAGAGAGGTTCTCATGGAGATATATAATGCTAGATTTGCAGTCGCTAAGGGAGCTTTTTAGTGTCGGAAAATGTTGGTTCACTTTATGGTGGGAAATAGATGGAGGGAATATGATATACGGCAAGATATAAAAGAATCAGTGAAGTTAGGAGACATCCAAGAATATCATTGCTATACGGCTGGACGTCGAAAATGGCCACTTGATGAATTTGAATAGAAGGAATAGGCCCTTCTACTCGATCGTTTCTCATATACTCTGCATTAATCGTATGAAGAGTAACTGATTTCCAGTTACCTGAGGAAAATTCATTAGAAAATGCCATATGAAGGCCTTTCAGTGGCTCGTAGGATATCGATTAATCACTGAAAGACGCTTTAGAGTGATTTGACGTAAGTAGGTCCCCTGGTTTAGGCGGAATCCTCCTCACGATAACTTCTTGAGCAATGACTGCTGATCCCGGGGAGTCACAAATGCCCCCAAAATGAAGAAAGTCAAGTCGTACACCCTCAGGCATGACTGAAAAAGATGGTGATCCGTTGAAATAGGCAATGTCCAAGAATATCGCTCTGGATATCGAAGGAAGGAAAGGATACCTGCATGGAACAGCTCATCAGGCCAGTCGAAAGTATCTCAAAGCAATGAAGATCAACGGAAAATCTTCGGACTCCAGTCTCGTCACTGCCTTGCTGCCTGCTTTATTCCTGCAGGTGTCCGTTTGTTACTCCAGAGATGAAGGCGATATCGGCATGTCAGGAAGAGACAACGAACATGAACAGAGAATTCCCGGTCTCCCTGCATAACCATTCATGCGTGTGCTGCAAGGTTGGAAGATGACAATAATCCTTCGGGTATTCTCATATCCACAAGACCACTTTTCCACTCCTTAGTAACGAGTTAACCCACCCCAGCAGGCAGCACAATAAAGACGGGAACCAACCGAGGACGACAAGAACCCTTCAGTCGGTGTGCAGCCAAGGATGTGCGAGCTTGACAGGCATTGGACCAGTTTTAGTGCCTGCATATCAAGCCACCAAACCGCCCCGGCCAATGGCCTGAGCACTCGCTGTGCTTTATCGATAACTCCAACAACCCGCAGACGAGGGGCACTGGCACTGCTCTCGTGAGCCCTCAACACCGGCCTTTGACGGGCACAGGAAAGCAAGCTACGGCAGCCGGAGATTGAATAACGGGCCAGCATGCGGGCTGTCACCGTGGAGAACGACAAGCCTGCGGGATAAATTCAGTTCAATGGCTGCGCCGGTGGGCCACAGTTATCGATGCAGACGAACGAGCGAAAAGCGGGCTGCAGCGCGAGACGGCATAGGCTAAGTCGACAATTAATAACAGCTTTTTTTTCGAGCAGGGAGCAAGGGCTGGAGAACGCATCCTGATCTGTCCGTCCGTGGGGAAATCTTCTTTTCGTTTCTTTGCTTTTCCCGTGGGCTCTCTCTAAACAGCCGGGAGGACGATGGACGATGGAGGTGGACGGCGGACGTTGGGACCAAGAAAGGATAAATAGGGCCAAAACCGCCCGCCCCCTTTTCCCGCTTTCTCCCTCTTTTCACCACAACCAACAACTTCACCAACTTCACTTTCGGCTTTTATCGACTCCAGCGCCAGCTTCAGATTCACCCTCAAACCCCCAAAAAAGCTCCAGTATAGACCTCTTCGGCTTGCTGAAGACGTCAATCCACCGTTTTTGCTTCCCGCTCGCTCGATCACTTCTTCTCTCTAGAAGCTGATCCGTCAATACCGCCAAGACGTTTTCCAACTTGCTGCCATCGTGAGTGACTCTGCTGCTCGAGATATACAGCCGGGAAGGAGGCCTTGAAGGGGTCTTTTGACGGCGTTGATATACGTTGAATCCGATGGCTAACTAGGAGTCCGCAGGTCGCACCACCCGTTTAACGGAAGCCGACGCTCATCCGCTCGTGGAGGAGCATCGGACGCTCCCCATACCAAGTAAAGGCCATCTGGAAGGCAATTGAACCACTACCAGCTCGGCTTTACTTCGAGAGTCCTCATCCCGCCAATTCTCTATAAAACCATTATTTAGTCCAGTCAAGACAAAGACCACCAGACTGAACAATGGCTCCACATGCGGATGCAGCTGCCAATGGCTCTGTTAACGGGTCGGTCCCCACGCACGGGGCGGATATCTTCAAGGTCGAGTCTCCCAATGTTGTCTACACCGACGATGAGATCAATACCAAGTTTGTCTACCGTACGACTGCTGTGACCAAGTCCGAGGATGGTAAACTCGTTGCAACCCCCAAGGAAACCGTCTATGACTTCAAGGTCGACCGCAAGGTCAGCAAGACCGGTGTCATGCTCATCGGCCTGGGTGGAAACAACGGATCTACCGTCACGGCTGGTATCATTGCCAACCGTCGTGGATTGACTTGGGATACTCGTGAGGGAAAGCGTTCTGCCAACTACTACGGCTCCCTCATCATGGCCTCTACCGTCAAGCTCGGTACTGACGCCAAAACCGGAGAAGAAATCAATATTCCCTTCAACAACATGCTCCCCATGGTCCATCCCAATGACCTTGTTATTGGCGGCTGGGACATCAGCGGCATGAACCTTGCCGATGCCATGGATCGTGCACAGGTGCTTGAGCCCACTCTCAAGGCCCTGGTCCATGACGAGATGGCCGCCATTAAGCCACTTCCAAGTGTCTACTACCCAGACTTCATTGCTGCCAACCAGGAGGAGCGTGCTGATAACGTCCTTCCTGGCTCCAAGGCTTGCTGGGAGCATGTTGAGAAGATCCAAAAGGACATTCGGTGGGTTACCTATACTTAGATGCTTTGACTTGGGTGGTGTGCTAACATACAGACAGTGACTTCAAGGCTGCCAATGGACTCGACAAGGTTCTTGTTATGTGGACTGCTAACACCGAACGTTACGCAGACGTCATTGAAGGTGTCAATGATACCGCTGACAACCTTCTCAAGGCTATCAAGGAAGGACACGAAGAAGTCTCTCCATCAACCATCTTCGCTGTGGCTTCTATTCTTGAGAATGCTCCATTCATCAACGGCTCTCCCCAGAACACCTTTGTGCCTGGAGCCATGGAGCTCGCCCTGAAGAAGGGTGCCTTCATCGGTGGAGACGACTTCAAGTCCGGCCAGACCAAGATGAAGTCTGCCCTCGTTGACTTCTTGATCAGCGCCGGCATCAAGCTCACCTCCATTGCCAGCTACAACCATCTCGGCAACAACGATGGCATGAACCTGAGCTCCCAGAAGCAGTTCCGATCCAAGGAGATCTCCAAGTCTAATGTCGTTGATGACATGGTTGCCGCCAACTCTGTTCTGTACAAGAAGGGCGAGCATCCAGACCACACCGTGGTTATCAAGTACATGCCTGCTGTTGGTGACAACAAGCGTGCCCTCGACGAGTACTATGCCGAGATCTTCATGGGTGGCCACCAGACCATCAGCATCTTCAACGTCTGTGAAGACTCTCTCCTTGCTTCGCCTCTGATCATCGATCTTGTTGTTATCGCAGAGATGATGACTCGTGTCAGCTGGAAGTCTGCCGAGAGTGAGGAATACAAGGGCTTCCACAGCGTCCTTAGCATCCTCAGCTACATGTTAAAGGTGAGTCTTCAATACTTCCCCATCTTATATTAGTTATCAGGCTCCAACTAACGCTCTATAGGCCCCATTGACTCCCCCAGGAACCCCTGTTGTCAACGCTCTAGCTAAGCAGCGTGCTGCCGTCACCAACATCTTCCGTGCCTGTGTTGGTCTCCAGCCAGAGTCTGACATGACTCTCGAACACAAGCTTTACTAGGCAGCTGTCATCAATTGATACCATCATCCTGCGTAAAAGATTACGTTCCCATTTTGAGATAACAACGTTGTCCAATAGATGGTGAAGAGGTGGTTCATGTCTTTCGGGGTTATTCTTTTTCTATGTTAGTTAGTAGTAACTGTTGGCTATGTCCGCTCTCCGCTCCTTTCAGCAGGCCCAACAGCCGTCTTATGCTGGAATTCAACATCCAGCGAATTAAATTGAAATTTCTTTATTTTGACCGTTTTTATCCTTCTCCTTCTCTTGCTTATGTGATCCGTCCCAAAATGGTAATCAACCGATGAGGGGCTTTTTCTGCTCAACCTCAACGTCAACTTCAATCTCAACTTCAAGAAACGACATCATCTTCATTCACTCACAGAAAGACAGAAAGGCCATCACAATGGCTAACTCAAAGATACCTGATTACTTCCGTGTTGCCGGTGCTGGGCCTAAGAGGAAGCACGATACCCCAGACCAAGATGAGAGCGTCAGTTCGAAGAGGTCATCACGGCCATACGATGCCGTATCTTCCCTGAGAGACCTCAAAAAGGGACCTAAGAGAGTCGCTTTTGATGCAAGAATCGTGAATATATACAACCAGCCCAATGCATACTTTGACGACAATGCAGAAAACATCAGCAGATCGAGTAAAAAGAAGAAGCAATCTTCAAAATCGGACAGCAATCTAGTAGCAAGTCAGCAGGCTAGGGGATGCTTGAAACTCATTCTCAGGGATGATACAGGCTATATCCTTGTATGCCTTGCTATCCGGCAAAGTGGATTACTGTTACTGACCTTTTCCTCTAGGTCAAGCTGTGGTATGCTGATACAACCTATGACCTTCGACTGGGGAAGCTTGTCTCCATATGGGTAACACATATCTCCCCATTTAAGCCCCAGTTAAAAGGGCACCCAAAGGCCGATTCATCTTCTACTCCCTCAAAACCAGTCACTCCCCCATCCACACCCCCAGAGAACTTCCCACTGAGTTTGATAGCAAGTATCTTCCCAGAGAAAGACAAAGGAAGCGGTATCAAAATACATGAACGAGGTGATATTGGTATCATAGGCCGTATCCCAATGGGGTACAGATATCCATTTCAAGTGGACTTGCTTGTAGATGCTCCAAAGAAGCACTCAATGGGCAAACCAACGAAAGTCCTAGTATACGTTTATGCAGTTGGGCCAGTCCGTGAGAGTACGTACATATCGTTGCTTCAAGCAGATCAATACATGCTCTAACACAACCATATATTTCAGCAACCAATTCAAATAACCAGACCGTTCCTACCGTTGATGTAGGAGTTACAGATGGACACAGTAGAGCCAGCCTTGGCCTTTTTGGGGAAGCTATGAAATCGGGGATGAAATGGATACCCAACTCCACGGTCCTTTTGATATCCAATGCGAGCTGGAAGCCTGGCTCAAGGCTGTACCTAACCTCCTTTACTCTAATTGACGTTGACCCCGAAAGTATCGAAGCAGAGGAACTGAAAAGACTTGCTGCACGAAGAGCGGAGCAAGTCAATCCCCCGTTTCCCACTGACTGTAAGTTCGGATTGAGATTTTAGATTCAGTGTGCAGGACAAATATGCTAATATTTATATTTATTAGTATTCGATGTTGAGGAGTTTGAAAGCTCAGTTCAGAAAATCAAATTCACTCTCGCGGATATTGAGGAATTGTACGCTTACCTTTCCTCATTCTATGATGAATGCATGTTGTTATACTCACAGCTGACTTCTAGCGCCAATTCCACACGAAGTGGTATGTGATAGCTAGATATTCTCACACAAGCACAAGCTAACCTTCCTTGAGAATTCATGGGATATATGTCGGTGGTGCTGCTTGATATTAACTTGGCTGCCCTCTACAAGCAAAATTGCCTGTTCTGTGCCGAGTGGTGAGCTTCCGGGAATTTATATGGACATGATATACTTAAATTGGCAGGCTTCTGACCTAATACTGGTACAGCTGCAATGTTCCCATCTTCTCCAACTCTAATGAGGCTTTTTGTGGACAGTGCGAATTAGAAGTCAGGCTGAGACTAAACCCGCAAATAGTGAGTTATCCAATTTTTGGATTAACGATGGTATCATTTAGTATCTCGATAAAAATTTCGCCCACTATGGATACAAATCCCTAACTATATGAAGACTGGATTTTCAGAGCCAAGTAATGATACCCCACTGCATGTGCTAATCTCTCATCTCCTAGATTGGCTCAATCGTTGACGAAACGGGGATGATATCATGCTTCCCTCCCATATTCAATCCTACAACCGGAACAGACACTCGCCTCAGCGTAGCTGGACAAATGACAAGGTCTGTTCATATGAAGAGAAAGGGGATTTCTCCTTTGCTATGGTCGGTGGAAGCAATGCAGCAGCTCCTCGGATGTGATGTTTCGGATATACTGACAGACCATGAAAACAATCCTGATGAGATATTGATTTCTTTCCGAATACTGGAGGCGAGACTGATGTATTCTCGTGTCATACTGATGTTTGGCTGGTGTTCTACTGACCAAAGAATAGCAATTTGCAAAGTGATCAAATGAGGTATCGATAACGTCGGATACTAAGATGAGTGATGAGAGCTGATATGCAATGTTACTATATCAATTTACTCTATATAACCCTAAAGGATACATGCTATGAATATTCTTCCTATCGGGGACCACTTTCGGGGTATTCTCTATCCATTTTCCATAATCACCCTTTCTCTTCTTTGCCTTAAGGATAGGCGGCGTCCTGATCTTTTCCAACGCTTCAATCCTCGCAGCAATGCTTAAGAGTGTCTCTTCTTCCCATGGCAAACCCATAATTTCCATACCAATCGGGACCCCAGAAGGTATATTCCGGAATATATCCCTATTTGAATACCCAGCAGGTACAGTGACGACAGGGTTCCCCGTCAGAGCTGCAAGTATTCCATTTCTACCATACTGATTCCGCGAGCCTATCCTAACGGGCAAATTCTGTTGCTGGGGGTATATCAATACATCGAGATTGAGGGATGAGAACGTCCGTTTGACTGACAGTGTCAGAGCGTTGATAGCAAGTTGCTTCTGAGCGTATGAGACGTTCAGAGGAGACGAGACGAGTGCAGACTGAATGAAGGGGTACTGATGTGGGATAACAAGGAACGAGTCTTCCTGGTTATCTATTTCAGAGTACAAACTCGCCATTGTCCGTGGGCTTCTTGATTCTTCCCCATGTAGACCCTGGAGATAAGCGTCCACCATCTCACGGTACTCATACGCTTGAACATCCAAGCCCAATATCGCAGTAGAATTATACATCGAGTCAGTAATGGGTATCACAATCGCGCCGGCCTTCTTAAGCTTACACACCATCGCACACATAGCTTTGTTGACGGGCGTTGTCTCAGAGTTATCAGCGCGGTTCATGAATCCCTCTATCAACCCGAACTTGACACCCAGCAGACTTTCACCACCATACTCCCCCTGGTACTTAGATAGAGAAGCAGTATAATCCAGCCCTCTAACATGCCGCGGTCGTAAAGCAGTCATATTATCCCTTTCATCAAACCACTCCCCCCCCGTCATAACGTTCAAACTCACAGCCAAATCCCACACGCATCTCGCAATCGGCCCAACAGTATCCTGCGTATATGAGACAGGAAGCACACCAGCTCTCGAAATCAAACCACGCGTTGGCCGTAGACTAAACAAGCCATTCGCACTCGCCGGACTACGCAGTGAGTTCACCGTGTCTGTACCCAGGCCTAACACCGCAAAGGAAGACGCCACTGCTGCTCCGGTACCGCCTGAGCTACCGCCGGGCGTTCTGGTGGTGTCATAGGGATTCAGCGTCTGGCCACCGAGAGAAGACACGGTGAGGCCCTCAAGGGCCATTTCATGCATGTTTGTCTTGCCGAGTATCACTGCGCCGGCGTCACGTAGGGCCTTGACGACGGGAGCATCGTGTGCGGGCGGCGGGGAGCCGGATAACGCTGCACATCCTGCGGTGGTGGACAGGTTGGCTGTGTCGATGTTATCTTTTAGTAGCACGGGGATGCAGTACAGTGGCATGAGGGATGTTATATCGCTCCAGCTGTTGCTGTTGTCCTTGGGGGTATCAGAGTCATCCTCTAGGGAATCCTGAAGCCAGGCGTCCAGCTCGTCGGCGACGGAAAGGGAGGTTGCATCCAGGCTTATTATGGCGTTTATACGGGGGTTGTATGTTTCTATCTGGGTGAGAAACGCCGTTACTACCTCGCGGCATGTCAGTCGAGTCTCTGGGCTGGATATATTTGCGAGTAGAGCCCGGTGGACGGATTGGATAGTGGCTTCAGCTGGGTTGAATCGAGGTACGGCTGGGGAGTGGAAGCCGAAGATGTCTGATATTGACTGAATAGCCATCCAGGCCGGGAGAAATGAGCTTTGAAGCATCTGCACCACTCTTATATCCTAAATGGCAGCAAGTTGGCATATCAAGTTGGTGTATCTGGTGTAGCGGAGGTACGATTTTGATGAAGCCCAACTTTCCGAAGTTTGAGAGAAGTCAAAAAATTACAAGTCAAGTCGAAATTTAAACATTAGTACATCTCAATTATGAAAGTATTTAATCGGGTATGTGACTATTTAAAAAATATTATCACTAAGATATACGACGCAGTGGCACGAGAACAATTGTATCTTCATCTGTAGCCGGGGGGAAAAGCAAGATGTAAAACAAGGTAGAATCAAAGGGTCAAAAAAAGTGTAGAAATATTGAAAGGCCAGCCAGGCAAGCAAGAATGAGAATTGGAAATCCGACATGAAGCAAGAAGGTGAAGTGATGTAAGACAAAATCGAAGGACCAAATAGACGCGTATGAAAGGGGGGTAACAAAAAGTGGAAAAGTGAAGCTAAAAAGGGGGGTGTAGAGTGAAGGGACTAACAAAAGAAACGTAGGGAAAGGAAAGGAAGGGAAAAGGAGAGTCAACGGTGGTCATTGAAGACTTCTCGGGACAGGATAGAGATTATTGAAGGAGAGAGTGAGAGATCCGATCCGACCGCCGTTAACGACCAACTGAGAGATACTCCATCATTGAAACGAAATGCTAAACCGGTTCGCCGTGCCGCAGGGTGCCAAATCAAGGAAAAGAAGACGAAACCAAAGAAAAGTAAAGTAAAAGGAGAGAAAAAGTTGAAGAAAAGAGAGAATCCATTAATCATCTGATTTCTTGCCGAGGTGGAAACGCCAGCTCCGTCGCTTGTCCTTCTTGTCGCCCCGAGACGACTCTTCGAGGTCAGACTGATCCGTTGCAGAGAGAGAGTGGGAGTTTGGAGAAGGGGTGCGAGAACGGGGTCTCAGCATGCGGTCGGTGAGAGAGGTGTGGTGGTGAGGAGGCGAGTTGACTTCCAGACTGGTGTGGCTTTGAGACGTAGAGGCGCTACGCACCGGTACGAGAGGAGAGAGAGGCGGATTGGTGACTTTGGGGGTAGAGACGTGGGATTCATCTGCGACGGCGGGGTCTTCTGGGTTGGAAGAGGTTGTTGGTTGAGAGGTTGTTGGCTGCTGCTGTTGTTTCGTGGGAGTTGCCTCGTCGGAGCCAGTCTGGGAGCCATGGGGGAGGGAGGCGGTAGAGCTCTGGGCGCTTTCACTAGCGCTTCCGGGGATGCGTCTTTTCTTCTTGAGCTTGTTGGTGTCTCTCTTCTCGCCGCTGGGGGGACTGGTCCAGGAAAACAGAGAGGCTAGCTTGCGTTCTCTGGTTGGGGTGATGGTGGTTGGCTTGTGTGTTGCCGGGTCCAGCTGTGTTGGAAGAGGTGCGTCAATGTGGTTTGGCCGTTGGGATTTTGAGACAGGATAAGCTGGCTGAGCGGATGGAGCTGGAGAGCTAGGTTGAGCGGGCTGAGATTGCTCGACTGGGGCAAGTTGGGCAGCCGTAGCTGGCTGTGCTGTAGAGTCTGGGCCGGGAGAAGGAGTAGAAGCCGGAGCAGGAGCTGGTGTCGGGACCAGAGCTGGAGAAGGGCCTGGCTCGGGCGCTTTGGTGAATTCAAACGGCTCAGCGAGCTGTGGAGCGCGTGCTGGCTCAGTTGGATGGTCAGACTTGGTAGATTCCACGGGCTGTGCTGGAGCAGCTTC